GTCAGTGCTTCTGGATTCTCACCCTTCGCACACCTGGGTAGAGCACCTGTGACAAATGGGCACAATGGGCATTTTTGGTTGTATTTAATTCAACACCTATGCCATAGCATGAATCTTGGCCATCTTAGCTAGAGAATAATTGATCATCTGTCTTTCCTGTTGACTCCCGGAACCTGCAAGTTGGTGGCTTTCTCTTTTAATCTACTGAGCATTCTCTGGGTGTCTAGTGTGGCCTTGCGCAGATTAAGAGAATGCATTTTTGAGGAATGAGAAATTAATGGCAGTTGTTTATAATGCCTAATCATTTCATCTAAAGTTGCCATGAATCTTGATTAAAATGCTTTCCACCAAATCTCTGTTAAAACGCAAGTCACTGAAAGGCTGTGCAGTGTGTGTGTGTGTGTGTGTGTGTGTGTGTGTGTGTGTGTGTGTGTATTTGAGTATGTGCCTGTGAGCACATGCCTGCCCGTGCAGGCCTGCCCTCACACTTGGGGGTGGGGTATGGTAGAGAGTGGAGTGGAGAGAGAAAAAAAGATAAGGAGGCAGGGAAAGAGAGAAGTAATCATTCCTAGTACTCTGGAAAAGGGGTGTCCAGGCTCCTTGGTTATCATGAAACAAGAGGCTTATTTCTTATTGCTGATGAATTTCAATTACAATTACAGAACGTTGGTAAGCCACATTAAGTCCCAAGGGCTGGATCAAAAATATACACCATCTGCAGGAGCCACTTGAATTCTCACTGAAAAACCTAATAGCCAAACATGAAATCAATTTGTGAGCAGATATAAACTGTGGCTGGTTGTCCATTAAAGTTTGCTTTCTCTCCACGATGCTAAGGGCCAAGCTCTAAAAGTGAAATGAATGGCCTGTGGCTAGATCCAACGTGCCACTCACTAGCAAGTTTCTGTTGTGTTGCAGAAGTGAACGACAACAGTTAAACTTTGAAGATAAACAGTGTTTTGATTGGGTTCCTGGGGAATAATGGTGCTTTTGTACAATTCTTGAAATAGAGCCTACAGCCGCCCTGAACAAAATAGTCTCTTTCAAGATCTTGGAAATAATGACATCATAGGCAGATTGAACCAGCAATCCATTAATAGTATCCTTTGTAGAAAGCTGTCTCAAGGGAGGGACCTGGTTTAGTAAATTGGTATTGTTTACAAACATAACATAATAGAATCCCCCATTCTTCTACGTCTGCGGAATAATCGGAGACACTTCCCACTTGGGAAACAAACATATTAACATCAAAGCTTCCTCACAGGTCCATACCCTTTCTCCATGGGTCTTCTAAAAGCATGCTTCGAAGCACTTTGTTTGAAGGCGAGTTAAAGATAACAAGAGCCTCCTCACTATTCTTTTGTCACCATCTCAGAAGGTTTGCATTGGAAAGGGTAATAAAGAACTGAAATAATATCAGGACAATTCAAGCAATACCAAATCTGAAATGTCTAAGTAAAACCAAAAGATTATTGGCTTCGTGCTCCACGTTTCTAGTGTGGAACTAGACACAGATCCTTCCACTTCTTTTCCATCTGTGTGAAAGGTGTATTCTGGTTCCCCTTGCAGTCTTCAGATGAGCTGAATAGCGTCAAAACAATCCCAGATTGCTGCGCAGCAGAAAGGTGTCCCATATATGCTGGGTCCTTCACACGATGCCTGTGTTATGGATCACAGCAAGTATGTGGTGGTGAAATTTTGGCCAGGAATATCTAGTGTATTCTAGGGGAGCATCGTTGGAGTTTTCTATCCCAAGTACCCCTTCTTTCCCCAGCCTGAAATATACCTGGTCAAATAAGGTCAGAGTAGTCAGGCAGCTTGAAAAGAAGCAGGGCACCTACCTTTTGAGTCTCTAGCCAGAGAGTAATTAGTAACAAAAAAACACCACTCCGTTAGCCACACCTAAATATCAAGAACAAAGGAGCCTAGTATTCTTTTGAATTACGTAGGTGTACTAGAACCCTGATGGGCCCAGACTCTTACTTGCCCTATTATATAAGGTCAGCTTTGTATATCAAATTAAAGAAGCCATGCCTGTTTCTCTAACTTCCATCATCTTAAATTATGTAATATGTCATCAGAAAATATATATCACCCAGCTCTCTCTCTCTCTCTCTGTGAGACACATTTTTCAGAAACCTATCTTCTAGGTATTTCTATTTAAATCCTCAGGGTTTTTTTTTGTTTTTGTTTTTGTTTTTTGCAGTGGCTTTCAATTTTTTTTTTTTTTACCAAGCTATCTTTTGTATATCTGAGCTTTATGTAATAATCACCCCATCCATATCCAGGCATTATTTTGAAGCCCAAAAAAGTAAAACAGAAAAAAAAAACCCACAGAAAACAGTGCCTTCTCCTGGTGGCAAATTCTTCTCAGTGACTAAATTAAAACTATGGACCTGTCCAGTACAGAATAATGCCACTGGTGAAGTCAGTCTTAAGCTCACTTTTCTTCTGGAGAAACAGTGAATTTAGAAGGGCCAAATTAAAAACAATTTTTTAATGTTCATTTTTGAGAGAGAGAGACACAGCGTGAGCAGGGGAGATGCAGAGGGGGTGGGGGGAATACAGAATCTGAAGCAGGCCCTGGGCTCTGAGCCTGAGCACAGAGCCTGATGCGAGTCTCAAACCTCGAACCATGAACCACAAGATCGTGACCAGAGCCAAAGTCAGATGCTTAACAGACTGAGCAACCCAGGCGCCCCTAGAAGGGTCAAATTTAAAATGTAAGAGGGAATGCAGACCCATCAACACCGGTTTCATGTACTAGTCGAAGTACGTACTAATGCCAGTAGTATCTATGAATCTGCTTTATCCTTGATATCACGGTTTTTCATTTTATCTTGTGCCGTGGTTTCGCCTGTATAGGGAAATGTGAGGTTAATCAAGTGGTTGGTGGTGACCAAACGCTTGTTACTATTTTCCTGATCATGATTGCTGAAAAAATACAGAACCAATCTTAAATCCGTGAAGATAATGCAAGACGTGACACTTAGGCAAAGAGAAAGAAAAGAGATCTCTTGTCCAAATTAAGATCAGGTCAGTCATTGTTAGCTGGAAGTTACCTGTGCAGCTGGAGAAAATATTAATTGGTACTCACCTATTCTTGAATACTTAAATTGGAGAAAATTTAGGACATAGTAAAATTTGGAAAATTTTCCACATGGCACGATGTAACAATTCATTACCAAAAATAACAAACACCTGGGGTGCCTGGGTGGCTCAGTCGGTTGAGCGTCCGACTTTGGCTCAGGTCATGATCTTGCGGTTTGTGGGTTCAAGCCCCACGTCGGGCTCTGTGCTGACAGCTGGGAGCCTGGAGCCTGCTTTGGATTCTGCGTCTCCCTCTCTCTCTCTCTGCCCCTCCCCTACTTGTGCTCTGTCTCCCTCTGTCTCTCAAAAATAAATAAATGTAAAAAAAAAAAACAAACAAAAAGAAAATAACAAACACATTGTAACTACTAAAGGTGTAAAATAATTACGATAGCTTATTTCTCATTAATGTTGTTGGAAGAAAGTGATCTGCTAAATCATTTTTGGAGAGCTCTTATGCTCCTAAATTAGTGCCGGTTAACACTTGATGAATTTACGCAGATTTTGTTGCAGTGGGATTTGATTTTCCCTGTATTCAAACTGGAGATTCACTTGGAAGATATTCTTAACACGTGATTTGAGATGGCGAGTGTCCCTTTGGGTCGCCAGTAGAGGGACTTGAATTAGAATAGGAAAATACTCAGAAGCCGAAATGTTTCACTGGGGAGTCCATGCTTTTCCAGTCCACTTTACCTTCCAGTGGGATGAAACCCGAATGTATTCCGTCCTGAGCACAAGATGCTAACGAGTAATGACATTGAGAGCAGGGGTAAGTTGCTAAAACCCAGACCGGCCCTTAACAGCCCTCTTACCGAGGCCAAGTCCCTCATTCCTCGTTTCAGGACATAAAGCATGACCAGCTTAAGGTTATGATGGCTCCTCAGGAAGTGGTCCTCTCCTTGGAGCTAGCTCCTCTTTGCTCATGGTGACATTTGGCTCAGCTTTATCTTCTGCCTGCTACCGGAAAAATGCAGCGTTGTTTCCCCGGTCCCTACACCCATACTCTGCTGAAACTGTCAGGTCTACTAGATCACGCCCCAGTTCTTTGACATGAAACAGTAGAGTGTGTTTTGTAAGCCTGGTTCATGCAGGTAAGAATCCAATGCCAGCAGCATCCCAAGCTGTCAGAGCAGCTAACGGGTCATTGTTTGGGGCCATTAAAGATCAACAGCCAAACCCATGACAGCTCCAGACTTTGAGGAGTTGTGCTTCCTGACCATCACAAAAGTTGGGGTAGAAATATTTCTAGCTTGTTTTTAATGTTCATTTATTTTTGAGAGAGAGAGCACAATCGGGGAAGGGGCAGAGAGAGAGAGCACAATCGGGGAAGGGGCAGAGAGAGAGAGAGAGAGACAGAGACAGAGACAGAATCCAAAGCAGGCTCCAGGCTCTGAGCTGTCAGCATAGAGCCCGATGACACAGGGCTCAAACGCACGAACTTTGAGATCATGACCTGAGTGGAAGTCAGACGCCCAACTCACTGAGCCACCCAGGCACCCTGGGTAGAATTTTTAAAGAAGGTCATAATTTGTTTATTAAAAGGCTAAGAGTAGACGGCAGAAAATAGAGTTTCATTTTTGAGAAAAGGAAGTGTTTTGTGTTATGTGTATAGAAAAGTTATGTGTTTGTGTCTACATCTTGAAAAGCCATTAATTACTGCCTTCACTTTCCTCTCTGGGAAATTGCATCATTGGTCTTTCAGGAGGCAGCTCCCTCCCCTGTAGAAAAGAAACCTCTCAAAATGGTCATCACAAAACCCACAAAACTGGAGACAGCCATGAGACCAATGCTTCTGTGTCTGAGCTGTTAGAGCCCCCATTTTACTAGATGGGTCTTTTAGGCCTCTTCTTTCTTAATTCCTGTTTTCTCCTCCTGTTCTTTAGGAGCTGCGCCATCAGTGGTAACTGAAAATGTCTGACAGTCTGGATAATGAAGAGAAACCCCCAGCTCCCCCGCTGAGAATGAATAGTAACAACCGAGATTCCTCGGCACTCAACCACAGCTCCAAACCACTTCCCATGGCCCCCGAAGAGAAGAATAAGAAAGCCAGGCTTCGCTCTATCTTCCCAGGAGGAGGGGATAAAAGTAAAGTATCAGTGGCCGGGCATTGAAAAGGGGCCAGTTTATTCTTTCCTTGTCACTTTCTTTGTTGGGTAGTCATTTCTTGAGCAGTGGCTGTTCAGGGCCTACCTGGCCTTTGCATCGACATCTTCAGAGGTTGCCTTTTGTCAGAGGATAATGTTTGATTGACTTACTGTGGGTTGACAGGAAATACACTTCTACCGTGTTTGCCTTGCACATAAAATTGAATTCATAGTGTTAAGCCAAGGGAAATCATAGCCGCAGTACTGTCTTGAATCTATGAACAGCGCTTTTCTTTCTGATAACTTAGAGGGGAGAATTTAACAGTAATCCCTTTCTAACTGGAAGTTGTCCTTATTGGAAATTTGAGTATAGGTGGATTTATTTCTGTATACCTTTATGACGACCGTGAAAATCCTGAATTGAGCATGCAGGAGTCAGTCCAAGTTGCCACATGATGGTCTCTCTGGCTGTATCCTAAGGTGGAAAGAAACTTCTGAGCCATTTGTTTCCTCTCTCAGTCTTGTGCCACTTGTCCCCTACACGATCAGCCCTATGGCACTGAGCATCACAACACCATATTGACATGAATCCATGTGTTGTTCATAAAACCATTTGTAATACCACGGGCTATAGAATCTCTAGTAGATAGTTGTCAGGTTGTGCTAATTAGCCTAAACTTAAACATGGCTTCTATAAATGTGACTACTGAGGTGGAAGAGAGTGAAACAAGTACAACTACCCCAGCAAGGAGCCAAAAAGGCAAGCAGGGTGGTGTCTTTAGAAGAGAAAAGGGACATCCACGATCTGCTCCTTCAAGGTAAAACAAATAGCGTCGCACATCCTGTGGTGTGAGTGAGGCCACAATTTGTACCGTAAAGGAGGCCAAAACTCTTCTTAGAGCCAGGATTGCCTCTTGTACACCTGAGTCGCTTAAGAGATGCTTTATGCCTGCTGACCCAAGGATGGAAAAGATGGAAATGTTAAGCCCTTACACTGAAGACCGGCAAAAGAACGATGAAGCACTTTCCGTGCAAGGGATCTGTGAAAATGCACGAGGGATTTCCAAAGACATGTTTTCAGACACTGAAGTGGGCCCAGCAAAAAGTCCTGCCGGGAGCAAGGAATGGCTTAAGAAACTTCTGTAACACCATGACCTGGAGACCAAGTCTTAGGTGACGGTGGTGCCGAAGAAAGAACCATCAGACCCTGCAGCTCCTGTGGTGTATCTGCCACAACCATAGGAGGTGAATGAAGACGGGAATCATGTGCCTGCCCAAATCTTCAGTGCTGTAGAAGCTGCCATTTTTGGAAGCCTTTGAAGAATCCTACTTGCCCTTTTGGAGAGCAAGAACCAACTGAGTGATGCTGATGTGAGGTCAGCGAAAACAGAGAGGCTGCTGTTTCTGGTTTGTGCCAGTACTTGGGTGACCTCCTGGCAAAACCACTACTGCTTGACACAAAACTATACCCAAATCTTCCCGGGGAAAAAAAACCCAAGCCAAGTTTCTGGTGTACTGGCACACTGACTGAAAAACATGGATAACTCCTCTCCTTAAGGAATGGTTTGAACAGTGCTTTCTCGTGGAAGTTCAAGACTAAAAAGAACAATCTGGAATTCAAAGTCCTACTGATTCCTCCCAGTCGTTTTGGTGCTTCAGATGCATTTGCAAGTGTGCACCCTTAATGTTAATGTTGTCTTTATTTTTCTTATGTTTTTTTTTTTTTTGAGAGAGAGCGAGCATGTGAGTGGGGGGAGAGAGCAGAGAGAGAGAATCCCAATCAGGCCCCTCCCTGCCAGCACAGAGCCCGACATGGGGTTTGAACCCACAAACTGTGAGATCATGACCTAAGCTGAAACCAAGAGTTGGACGCTTAACTGACGGAGCCACCCAGGTGTCCCAAGGTTGCCTTTTATAATGAGTTGCGTGTTTCAGATCCTTGAGCTCTTAGATCAGTGTTTGATCCAGCTATTCGAGAAGACATGCCAAACTAATGTCCAATTTTGTTGTTGAAAATCTCACCAAGTTTCCTCTGTCTGAAGATCCTACCCCATGGGATTCCGACATGATCACTAATGCTGTATTGGTTTTTTTTAAGTTTATTCATTTTTGAGAGAGAGCATGAGTGGTGGAGGGGGAGAGAGAGAATCCCAAGCACACTCCATGTGGTCATTGCAGAGCCCAACACGGGGCTTGATCTCACAAACCATGAGATCGTGACCTGAGCCAAAATTAAGAGTCGGATGCTTAACCAACTGAGCTACCCAGGCACCTCACTAATGGTGTATTCTTACTGAAAGAACCAATAGATAGTTCAACAGAGCCTGTCATTAATGTACGCTGACAAAAGATTTGGCTAGGGATGGTGGCATGCCTTTCAGTGGTCTGTCCTGAAGACCATGAATCTTGGGATCAAGAAGAACCTATAGATGAGAATGAGCATTTGGTACAGGAGCACTCTGTCTGAAGTTGGATCTGAACCTGTTGATATTAATTCAAGTGATATGATGCTACTAGAGGATGACTCTCAGGAAGCTTCTGGCACTCCAGAGGTGATTATCGTAAGTGCTGACAGATAATTAGGAAGCTGTAGGACTGGAGACAAATAACAGTTACAAGCAACATGTGCACATTTTTTTTAAATTTATTTTTTTAGTGTGTATTTTGAGAGGGAAAGAGAGAGCACAAGATGGGGAGGGGCAGAGGGAATCTCAAGCAGGCTCCGCGCTGTCAGCACAGAGGCCAGCGTGGGGCTTGATCTCAGGAACCGTGACGTAAGATCACGACCTGAGCCGAAAATCAAGAGTCGGATGCTTAAGCGACTGAGCCACCCGGGCTCCCCGACAGGTGCAAATTTTTTAGGACAAGATTAAAACCTTCTCCCAAGAAAGCAATGCAAATTGATACCTTTACATGTCAAACCTTAACCTGTTCAAAGCCTGAGTGATGTAGCAGAACCTTGTAAAGAGATGCTGTGATGCCTTCAAACAATCACATTGGACAGAAATCATCTTTAGCAGGACTTTAATCATCAAAGAGGACCATTTAATACCATTGCTGGACAGCTGATAAGCTGCCTTCAGACAAATCTTGAATGATTTCATTGAACTCTATCAAGGGGTACTAAGAGCCTTTTTACATTTCTATATTAGGAAGAAAGGACCCTCAGAAGAGCCCAAATCATAAAGTAGTGCCATTCAAGTATCCGTGCCAGACCCTGCGTAAGCTGCTTTCGGACAATCTTTGAACGATTTAATTCGAACTCTGTAGTATCTTCAGAAAAGAGGAGACAGAATGTTCAGAAAAAGAGCCAGTCATTAAGTTTTACCACTTAAAGTCACTTGCTTGATCAGGCTAACAGCACAAGCCAGTTGTTCCAATTTCAGGATTGGATTTCAATGACCGGGAGAGTTTAAAGAGCCATGATTTGAGCGAGCAGCTCACTTCCCTTCATCTCTCCACTGTTCCCCCCACTTTTCCACTGTCATAATGAGGGGTACATCCTCATCACCTGTGGAAATCATCCTAGGCTCTCAATGGAGACAGTGTAGAACCTATACCTATCACTTTGACTAATTTAAGCCATGTAAACTCTCGTTATTCTTTGCACGTAATGTACTGTTGTTACTGTTTTTGTTTTACTGTGCAAAAAAATTATTCGTGAGGGCTTTCAGAAGTTTGCATGGGACCTCACTTCCCCTGCCCTTTGTTTTTGAAACCTCCTAAAATCATACTTTCTTCAGCTGAACCCTGCTCCCTTGGGGGTTGTTCAGGAATTGACCCTCATAGGTAAGGAGGGGTCACCGTGTCCATGCTCCTGCCTCTAGGTGACTGCCTGGGTTACACCGCAGTCAGTCTTAATGAATGGGAAGAGCACTGTACTTGGGGTTCTGAGGAATCTGAGTTTGAGTCCAGCTCTGCCACCGATTATTGTGACTTGGGGCCAGTCACTGAGTCTCATCACCTGTTAAATGCAGATAGTGATACCTGATACCTACCTCGCAAAATATTTTTGGTAGTCTAATGTAATTCTAAATATCAGAGCACTGCTAAAATGAAAAAGTGCTAAATAATTGTGAGGTGTTAACTACATTGGTATCATTTTGGACTTTACAAACAAAACAGCCCCAAATAATTAGATTTTTAGAAATCTTGTTTCTTTTTTTGAAGTTCCTTTGCCCCTAACTAGAATTTATTTGTTGCTAATAGAAAACTTTAAAGAAAATTAAAATTGCCCATAATTTTACAAGCTAAAAATAATAACCATCTGGATCAGTATTTTTCCTCCTAGTCCTCCTCCTCATATAGAACTTGTTTATCAGTATCAAAAAAAAAATGGAAACGAAAGCATATAGAAAAAAGTCACCCCTATTCACAAATCTCAGAAACAATGTTAATGTCTTCGTGGATTTCTTTCCAGACATTTTTTGTGGAGATGGTACACACACACACACACACACACACACACACACGCATACACACACATACACATATCCTTTTATACAGTTTTTTACATAGTTGAAATCCTAATATGCAGTTTTATATGTTAATTTTTACCTAAGATGTGCTTAGAATTTTTATCATGAATATTTTCCTGCATTTTTAAGAAGTTTGATGGGGGCGCCTGGGTGGCGCAGTCGGTTAAGCGTCCAACT